CTTTTGAGGATGCATAAAATGTTTAACTTAACCCCGAAACACCTGGTATGATGAGTTCACATTCTTCCGTTATATTTTTTCAAAGAGGAGCCACGAGAATGATCCGTCGATTGATTTTCAAAGTACACCATAGCACTATAATTTTTACAAAGAACATAATTTGTGTTTCATCTACCTCCATGTAAAATTTGAATAGGCTTTGTCGACCGGGCTTTCTACACCAAAATTATAATTGTTGTGCCTTTTACCGCTAGACCCTTTTTTCTTCACGTGATTGCATCTGATCGCAAATGAATGCTGTTGCAATGAGACTATACACGTTTGTAAACCTTTCGAAAAGGAATCTCCGCCCATGACAGAATCTACTCATACATCCCCATATTATGTTTCCTCGAATCTCAAACGTTAGGGTTCTGTTTTTTTTTCTTTTCTTCAAACTATTGAGAACTATCCACAAGCCTCTACGTAACCAGAACACACAGTTATTGTCTGCGATCAGCTGCGATCAGTTGCAATCAAATGGGATCGTATGCGCTCTGTTCCTTGTATAGAAGATTTTCAAGCTTTCCGCATCTCTCTCCCAAGCCACATTTATAATTTTTCATCTTTGCTGGGCTGGATTAAACTGTTTTGGATGCTATAGCTGAACAGTGTCCACTTAATAATATAGGCGGCGGTCGGGGTGGATAATTAAAAAGAAATTCAAGCATAAAGCTACAGTACGGAAAGATCGATTGATAGTCGTTTTATTTAAACACTATTATATACATTGGAGAGACATAACAAAATTAAGATTCATAGTCTGCTTGAGTGCGAATGATCTCACAGAAATAGGGATATTGCTTAACGACAAGAATTGTGTTTGAAAGAAAAAGGGAATCTTTTGAGGACGCATAAAATGTTTAACTTGACCCCGAAACACCTGCTACGGTGAGAGTACATTTTTCCGTTATGTCTTTTCAAAGAGGAGCCATGAGAATGATCCGTCGATTGATTTTCAAAGTACCCCATAGCACTATCAAGTTTACAAAGAACATAATTTGTATTTTATCTACCTGCTTGTAAAATATTTGAATAGGCTTTGTCGACCGGGCTTTCTACACCAAAATTATAATTGTTGTGCCTTTTACCGCTAGACCCTTTTTTTCTTCACGTGATTGCATCTGATCGCAAATGAATGATGTTGCAATGAGACTATACACGTTTGTAAACCTTTCGAAAAGGAATCTCCGCCCATGACAGAATCTACTCATACATCCCCATATTATGTTTCCTCGAATCTCAAACGTTAGGGTTCTTTTTTTTTTCTTTTCTTCAAACTATTGAGAACTATCCACAAGCCTCTACGTAACCAGAACACACAGTTATTGTCTGCGATCAGCTGCGATCAGTTGCAATCAAATGGGATCGTATGCGCTCTGTTCCTTGTATAGAAGATTTTCAAGCTTTCCGCATCTCTCTCCCCAGCCACATTTATAATTTTTCATCTTTGCTGGGCTGGATTAAACTATTTTGGATGCGATAGCTGAACAGTGTCCACTTAATAATATAGGCGGCAGTCGGGGTGGATAATTTAAATGAATTTCAAGCATAAAGCTACAGTACGGAAAGATCGATTGATAGTCGTTTTATTTAAACTATTATATACATTGGAGAGACATAACAAAATTAAGATTCATAGTCTACTTGAGTGCGAATGCTCTCACAGAAATAGGGATATTGCTTAACGACAAGAATTGTGTTTGAAAGAAAAAGGGAATCTTTTGAGGATGCATAAAATGTTTAACTTAACCCCGAAACACCTGGTATGATGAGTTCACATTCTTCCGTTATATCTTTTCAAAGAGGAGCCACGAGAATGATCCGTTGATTGATTTTCAAAGTACACCATAGCACTATAATTTTTACAAAGAACATAATTTGTGTTTCATCTAACTCCATGTAAAATTTGAATAGGCTTTGTCGACCGGGCTTTCTACACCAAAATTATAATTGTTGTGCCTTTTACCGCTAGACCCTTTTTTCTTCACGTGATTGCATCTGATCGCAAATGAATGCTGTTGCAATGAGACTATACACGTTTGTAAACCTTTCGAAAAGGAATCTCCGCCCATGACAGAATCTACTCATACATCCCCATATTATGTTTCCTCGAATCTCAAACGTTAGAGTTTTGTCTTTTTCTTTCCTTCAAACTTACCTTACAACATTGAGAACTATATCCACAAGCCTCTACGTTACCAGAACACGCAGTAATAATTGTCTGCGATCAGTTGCAATCAAATGGGATCGTATGCGCTCTGTTCCATGAAGCTCATGTGAGCGAGAAAACACACATGTATTTGTGTTTATTTATTCAAATATTGTTTCTTTATTAAAGTTTTCCAGCAAGACAAAGTGTAAGTTGGTTTGTAACTTTGTAAATTGTACAACTCAGATTAAAACATGGAGATACAGTGAGTTCAAATATTCATGTATATGAATTGTTAAATCTTTTGGGGTCAGATTCGACTCATTTCAAACTCAAAAAACGGATACAAACATACACTATGAACATGACAGACAATGAAAGCGGACAAAATATACAGTTCCTCAGGTAGACAAAGGAACATCCCTTCACTGCTATTATGTAAAAATGTGTAGAACAGGTGAATATGCATGTGACACCTGTTCTACACATTTTTACATAATAGCAGTGAAGGGATGTCCCTTTGTCTACCTGAGGAACTGTATATTTTGTCCGCTTTCATTGTCTGTCATGTTCATAGTGATACACTTGGAACAATCCCCAGGACTGAAACAGGAATGAAGAGCATATTTTATGAAGCGGGCCAGTTTAGATACAAATTTTGTAAAAGGCTATGATTTGAACCTAATGCATGCAAAAGTGTCTGGCTGTCTTTTCCTGTGTCAGTTTCGGTCCCTTCTTTGGTTATTAAAGAGACCACTTTGTGCCCGGGACCACCTGTACAATTTGTCAACAATCTTCACATTGCTAGCAAGTTTTACAGGCAGTTGAAAAACCTCATCAGCTGGGAATCAGAGAGTGTTGTTGTCTCAACACAACATTGTAAACCATGGATTAGTATATTAAAGGTGAAAAGATATGAATGGAATGATGTCGATGAAACACATGTATTAAAGCATTAAAAACTGAGAAATAGCAGCCCAAAGAGGGCGAGAAAAAAAAGAAGAAAAAAAAAACATTCAAAACTGAAAAATATCAGCCCAAAAAGGGCGAGAAAAAAAAAGAAAAAAAAGAAGAAAAAAAGATGATTATTTTCCGACCGACCCATGTTTTAGCACCTAAGGCACAATATATTTTTATTTTTTAGGCCTCATAGTTAATTACGTCACGGATTTATACAATTGGCATTCGGAATGTCGCCAGAATGCCCCACTCAGAATATAAAACAATGAAAATACAATTTACAAACAAATATGTAAGTTTTAATAAGTGAACCCATAATTATTTACAAAAATTTAAGTACAAAATAGAATCATAGTGACAAAGTGAGGTGGAAAAGAAGAAAAAAAATCTCACTTTTTATTTCTCTAGCGCAAGTGATATTTTCTTTATTCGTTTCTTTCTTTCCGTCGGCTTAATTTTTGTCATGAAAGCCGGTAATATCAGCGACACTTCATTGTTTTCACCAATCTCTTTCTCTCACTTTTTATTTCTCTAGTGCCAGTGATATTGCAATTCATTTTCTTTATTTATTTCCGACGGCTTAAGTTTTATCATGAAAGCCGGTAAAATCAGCGATATTTAATCGTTTTCGCTTCTATCTCTATCACTTTTTGTTTCTCTAGCGCAAGTGATATTTGAATTAATTTCTTTCTTTCCGTCGGCTTAATTTTTGTCACAAAGCCGGTAATATCAGTGACAACTAATTGTCTCCGTAGGGGCAACAAAGTCTTGCCGATAATTATTGTTTTTAGATCTCCGGACGGAGGGGCAACTAAACGTTGCAGATAATTTTTGTTTTTAGATCTTCGGAGGGGCAACAAAACCTTGCCGATAATTATTGTTTTTAGACCTTCGTAGGAGCAACAAAGTCTTGCCGATAATTATTGTTTTTAGATCTCCGTAGGAGCACCTAAGTCTTGCCGATTATTATTGTTTTTAGATCTCCGTAGGAGCAACAAAACCTTGCCGACAATTATTGTTTTTAGATCTTCTTAGGGGCAACAAAACCTTGCCGATAATTATAGTTTTCAGATCTCCGTAGGGGCCACAAAGTCTTGCCGATAATTATTGTTTTTAGATCTTCTTAGGGGCAACAAAACCTTGCCGATAATTATTGTTTTTAGATATCCGTAGGGGCAACAAAACCTTGCTGATAATTATTGTTTTTAGATCTCCGTAGGGGCAACAAAGCCTTGCCGATAATTATTGTTTTTAGATCACCGTAGGGGCAACAAAGTATTGCCGATAATTATCGTTTTTAGATCTCCGTATGGGGCAACAAAACCTTGCTGATAATTATTGTTTTTAGAAGTAGAAAATTAAAAAATAGCAGGCATGCATGATCAAGATAATCTTCAAAAAGGGAAAACAATCAACGTATTAATGAGAAAAACAATATTGAAACGGGAGAGATATTTTTAAAACACCCCCGCTTTTTACCGCCGTTTTGAACGGAATCGAGCGCTTTTGTAATACTGCCGTACAGAATATCGCGCCTCTTTTCTGCCGTAGAGGACAGTATGCGCATTCAGTGATAACGCATAACAAGAGCGCGCACTCGCGCTCATAGTCGCGCATTTTGAGCGCGATCAATTGCGTGCGATCAGTGTGACGTTGATCGCAGGCGGAACTGTACTATGGGGTATTTCTTGATAGGCCTACAGGTTTGCTGTGTGCAGACATGTACACACATTACCGGTATCTTCACCAAGTCAGGTGTCCATGAATTATGGCCTTCTGCACATGGAAACTGAAGACCCACTCCCTTTAATTGAATTAATAAATAAACATTTGATGATGTCCAACTCACCTATATCATGGCTCTTAAGTAGCTGATCAAGCTCTGGAAGATAGCTGACCATCAGTTGTCTTAATACTCTCTGGTCAGCCTAAAGACACAAACATAAAATCATATAATCATCAAGTATCATCAAACAATCAAGACAGTCATTGCAGAACATGCCATTTGTAGTTTCTCTGGTATTCTTCCATTTGCTTTGGGACTGATCTGCATGATAACAGCCTTTATATTTGGATTTGAATTCAAACAGCTAGCTTGAAAACTCACAATAAGGACTGAATGCATAGAATGCAAACATGACGCTGTTCTATTACTTTTAAGAAGCAAAATAGCATCTTTAACAGTGAGACATATTTCCATACATGGATTTGGATTTGTAATAGAACTGGAGGCTTGTTTAAATATGTGGTAAATTGATACAGTTCACCACAGCAAAACTTTGCTTTCTATTTGTATGCATATAAATGAACGGCAAGTGGGGTTGTAGTGAGGGAAAAAGTTATCTGTGCATAACGAAGGCTCAAAGGAGTACCGACTCATTTGCGCGTTATGAGCTACAGAAAAGTGAGACACACTACACTTATGCCACTATTTTACTGTTGCTTCTTTTTTAAAAGACGGTTTATCATGGGCATATGGGAATGACGCTCTGTACTTGCCTGAACTCCAAGTAGTGTGTGTGAAAAGTTTGATGGAGGAACGAGATCTTCTACGACCGAACACACGATTCAGAAAGCATTTAAAATACACAATGATACCTCAGTCACACTGAACCGACTCCAAACAAAACAACTGACTCTAGGACATTCAGAGCAATATAATCTTTTACTTGGTCTGTTGTCACTCTGGGACCCATTTCACAAAGCCTTTTTTCAATGACAAAAGGAGAAAGTCAGTGACAAATCTGCTGATAACCAATCAGAAGCAAGTATTTCAGTAGCTTATAACAACAACTGTCATTTGTCACTGATGACAAGTTTTGTGAAACACTCTGCTGTCTGTCTCTCTGGTGTGACTTGGGTATTTCTAGTGCCATTGACTTACCTGTACACCTAGGAGCGTGTGTGAGAAGTATGACGGAGGAACAAGATCTTCAACGACTGAACACATGATCCAGAATGCATCTTCCTCATCCATGAACAGAAGCAATGAAGAGACAATCTGTAGGACAAAAGACGGTCAATCAAACAGAGACGTTGCACATGAATACAAACAGAAAGAATATTAATAATCCTGTTTGATTCAGTATATAATTAATTGTTCTATTTCATTTGTATATGTTCTATCTCACTTCAGCTGTTCTTTTGTGTGTAATGCAAATGTTATACTTGCAAAAGTGCACCATGAACATTTGGCGTCTTACAAATCTCATGTAGTATTATCATACATAAATAAAATTTCAACAATTCTATGGTGGACATAATAATGAAAACAGGTGGTGGAAGAATGCTGTCTAAGAGGGTGTCAAACAACATCATTAAAAAGGTGGCAAGTTGTCAGTGGCCCAAAACGGGGTATGTTAATGAGACTTAGCAATTTTTCATAGTCTTTTCTTTCCTCCACTTACCACGCCTGTTCCTTGACAGTAGCCTATATCAGGATAGAGCCATGAGATGCCTCTCAAGACTCTTCGTAACCTCGGGACGCCGGTGCTCTTCTGGTTTGAGAAACACGCATTGGTGGGCATGGTACGTAGAAGGTCCTGTTCAAAGATTCATTTTATGAAAGTATCAGGAGATGATTTCCCGCATTGCTCATGAAAATTTATGACAGCTAATACATTGAACTGAAATAAGGTGTTTGATGGCGATAGATTTTTTCACATTGAAAATTCAAAATACTTCCTGGCAGTTTCAAATCTACATGAAGATTTAATATCCTTGATGAACTGAACTGATGATTTGGAATATGAAAAAGAGGAATATTTGCTTGAAAATAATGATATTTCCTCGTATTGTTCTGCCCCATAAAAGCATGGAAATATTGCCCTTTCACTTTTCTGATTCCTTCTTCTTCAATACAATCAATTCATATTTTTCATCACCTAACATCATAGCGTATAAAGATCAAATATCATAAAACCATAAAATAAAAATTAATTCAAATACATCTTTGGATGAGAGTAGACTTTGAGAAGGTATGGACACTATTAGCATTGTGTGTGAATACAATAGGAAAAGAAGTCGTGGAGTATATATCTGCTATTCAACCGACCACTGTGTATCTACATCCTGTTTAAGCTCCTCTAAACTGTTGGGAGCGTCAAAAATTTGATGGCAAACTTTCACCTTAATCATTTAATGATGTGAAAGAGGATGTCATAGTAACACACACATCTGCAAGGATTTTTAAATAAATGTGCTTGGAAGAAGAATATTGATGAAAGAATACAAGACAAGTATCTGGACTTTCTGCCTATAACAGACAACTTAAATGTTGTATTCTTTTATCAAATATTGGCCTTAAAATGTATATATTTTGAAAATCCTTGCAGAAGTTTGTTTTGAATGACCTACTTGTTCAAATCTTTATACAATGTAAGTGAAATTTTGTCATCAAATATTTGAGACTCCCAACATTTTAGAGGGGCTTTAAAGTAGGAGGAATGAAGGTAATATTTTTTAGTATACATGCTGCTTCATAAGGGTAGAAAGACTAGATGTATGTCTGTGTTGACATAACATATTCTCACCTTTTCTATTTGCTTGGCTGCCATGGACTGGTCACTGGAACTTGCTTTGATGATCTCCTATGATATACAAATCAAAGATAGATACATATAAATATCTGTATGAACTAAAAACATGGGTAGAGCTCATGTGTAGGTAAAAAGGTATGTGTAGGTAAAAAGGTGTATGTAGATCATGAAGCACATGACAATGTACAAGGAGAGACAAGTAGATGTATTTTAAAAAGGTAATATAGGAAGGAAAAGATAAATGAATTGATATCGGGGGGGGGGGGGGGGGGCATTCCGAATCTAGTATGTTGCTGTGAGGGTTTAACAACATTCTAAGAAAAATCATTTCATTAAGACATATGTAAATGGATAACTGTAATAATATAAAGAAATTGTATACCGACAAATGGAGATAAGAAAATTACATATAAAACACAGTAAAGTTCCACAAGTGTCCATTTGTTCACTCACATCAAGACTCGCTTAATATAGCCATGATTTCATACTTAATAATTACAACAATAATAATATTCTGGATTCATATAGTGATGAATACATTTAATTGTCTGTAAGCAATGTACAGTACAGACATACTTGAGTAGAAAGCGTGGACTCTCGTAAGCCAGGTGATTTTTGGAGATCTACTTGAAATATTGTAAGTATCCTTCATTCTTACAGGTACCACTTATTCCCACTGCATACAGTATGTACAACATTAATTCTGCTATCATTAGACTGACTGTACACTGTAATTGTCTCCTCTCACGTCATGAATAAATTACACATATTCAAATCAGTTGCTTCGACCCGGAAGGTGTGAACTTTGGTATGTAAACACAATAATGACTTATCACCCTTGTACGCACAAGACTCATGAGCATTCGTCACTCTCAGAAATCCAATCTGTTAAATCATCAATAATTCATAAGCTCTGTTGCTTTCACCGATCAACATCCTGGGAGCCAGCCTTACTTACCTTGTATGACATTTCGCTGCTACTCTTCTTCTCCTGCGCACCGCAGAGTCTCATCCACAGCTGGTGCCTCATGCTGTGTGGAATGCCCTCTCGGACCAGCGAACGTAACTTTTCCGTCTGGGGTAACCGGCTGTCCATCTAGATGATGTAAAGATAGAATTTGGGATGTAACTTCTGAAATTTATTTTGCTTCATGAAGTGCAAACAACTAGAATTTAATTTACTTCGAATTCAGATGTCAATCACGATCTCATTCCCATATCCTGACCCTTTTTTAAATATTATTCTCACTATTAAAGTATGAGTTTTCCATTGCGCCACGTATTATATTTGTAACAGTATTCAATTCCTAATTCTTGAAGGTGCATTCCTAATTTTGTACATAGGGTCTGAAATTTGTAATAATAAGCCAGTTCATAGTTGCAGTCTGAGCATGAGCAGATAAAGGTCATTGCAGACCAAATTGTGAAATACACGAAGACAAAATACCGAATGCGTGCTCATGAAAGTTACGTAACCATTATTCATTTACGCACAAGCAATGCACTCCATGATACACAGGTGGAAGTATTCTTTGAAAAGGGGAAACAAAGGCTATTTATGTAGTACCTCCATCGCTGTAGGAGTGATTATTTCAAAATGTACAAAGTGGGACCTCTTCATGTTTTGAAGATCTGTGGATATTCTGGGTCACTTTGGACATGTGCTCACCGTAAACTGGTGTATTATAAATTTGTTGTAATAGTTGGCAGCTATGCAAACATACTGTTAACCCCGTAAAATCTTAGAAACCCGAGATGGAAGTAGATTATATTACCGATTCCCATGTGAGATCTCCGACCTCTTTATTGTGAGCGAACTCGAAGTATGCTGTCCATTTCAATCTCTGCTGGGGGTCCTCTATGAACGGTTCACTCAGGAGCTTACTGGAGTTGGGCTCGGCTGCATCTGTATTTAGAATTAAAATCAATAAAAAATCAAGATCATTTCACTTTGAGTTTGAATGGATTTAATGTGATATCACTAAGGTTCAGCTGCATCTGTATTCAGAAATAAAATCCATCAAAATCAGTTCACTTTGAATGAATTTAATGTGATATTATAGTTAGGTTGAGCCTCATGTGTATTTAGAATTTAGATGAGTCAAAATCGGTTCACTTTGAATGAATTTAATGTGATATAATTGGAAAGCATAGGATACTCTTTATTTTGGTTCAGTTCGGTTTGATTTGATTCAATTGTATTCAGTTTGGTACTGTTCAATTCAGTTCATTTCAAGTCAGTTCAGTTCAGTTCAGATTAGATCAGTTTAATTCAATTCAGTTCAGATTAGATCAGTTTGATGCAGTTCAGATTAGATCAGTTTAGCTCAGTTCAGATTAGATCATTTTTATTCACTTCAGTTCAGTTCTATTTAGTTTGGTTTACTTTGGTTCACTTTTATCAATTTAAGTTCAATTCAGTTTGGTTAAATCAAATTAAATACAGATTGGTTCAGTTTCATTCAATTTCAGGTCATTTCAGTAGCTTTCAATTTTGTCCTGTTAATTTCTAATTCATCAATTCCATAAGATTGAACAGAAAGTTATTAGGAAACAAAAGTAATAATATCCAAAAAGGTAAGGAGTCAAAAGAAAGCTTGGCATTACAAAAATTGACTCAAAAGAAGAAGAGAAGACAATTTATCATGAACAAGGATATGAAATAAATACCGGTAAGGCACACATCTCGTTTAAAAATTTAAAAAATGATATGTGCTTTCTTGAAAATGCTCCAATGTAACGTTTGTTCAATTTTGAATATTGCTAAAGGCACTGCATTGTTAGAAATATATTTTAAACAGCCTTCAGACTGATCCATGTTGCATATACACATGTATTAACTGTACATTTGAATGCATGATCTTAAATGTCAACTCCATCTGGCCGTCATAAGCCTGAGCTCCTTATTTACAAGATTTCTTCCAAAGGCATAATGAGACATAGAAGGTCAACGGTTTTGCAAAGCTTCCTAATGAGCAGGGAGAATGCTTAAAGACCCTATCCGATGAAAATACAACTTGATATAAATGGAAATGGAAAACTGAATGAATGTAGAATAAAAAATATAGAGGAATAAAAAGTATTTAACCTTTCATTATTGCACAAAAGCAAGTTAAAACCTCATTCTCCTTATTACGAGTTAAAGTAACGACATAACATGTGGACCTGACTGGTTCACCTACATGTACATGTTTATAGCTGAGGCGATGAGCCACGCTTAATTAATGGAAAGTCATTGTGAATATGGGTACTCCACATAAGAAGATGTCAACTTTCAATTTTTTCAGCATTAGATTTTGAATTTTCAGAGAGCTGATACTCCTCTGACAGACACTAAAATGGCATATAATTGATATTATTGTAATCTTATGGCTTATAAGCTTTCCGTTGATATATAATTCATCCATTTCATTTTTTCAGTTCGTATATGGTCTTTAAGAAATGCATTGTCAAAGAGAATCTCTCATGAAATAAATATCTGAAGGCGTGCACGCGACACCACAAAGGGAGAGATCCGTCTTATATAAGGGCAAACAACCACATAAAGGAAAGGTCAAAATACACCTACGACAGTTATGTTGATGCCTAAATACATGAAGACTACATATCTATATTTACATGATCATTACAGTAAATCAGTATTCAATATGCCTATATTGACATTTGGAGACATACGTGTACAAAATGCTGTACTGTATTGCCCACAAATTCATTATTTCTGTAAGTGCCTATTCAAGAAAAAGATTGCAAGTTTCTTGCACCACATTGACTTGATGTTGTGTTTCTCCTCATAATGTACAATGGGCTTCCACAATCAAGGAGTTTCATCATAGCAGTGACTACAGTATATCAGAAAGGTGAGACAGTGCCTGTTAAAGATCAAAGCCCCTCTAAAGTGTTGAGAGCCACAAATTCGCCCCAACTTTGATGACAAAATTTCACTCAAATTTTATCATAATGTAAAAGAGAATTTCAGACACTTCTGCAAATATTCCCCTCTCCCCCCCAAAAAATGTTTTTAAAGACATAATATTGATAAAAGAATGCATAATTTGGGTTTTTCTGTTGTACGCCAGGAAACTTAAATTTTGTATTCTTCCATTAATATTCAACTTCAAACACTTTTGTTTTGACAATCCTTGCAGAAATGTGTCATTAAAAAAAAAAAATTCACATTATGATACAATTTAAGGGAAATTTTGCCATTAAACACCATTAACACCTTTAATATTCACTCTTCAATAAGCGATACTGGGCCATAATTGGTGGCAGATGCTTGCCCAGTGTCATCTTCATGCTCTAGTGCATGTACTGAATATCATCATTCACAACAGTGTACTAGCCAACATAGAAGTGGAACCTTGGCAGTGCAGATTATGAAAATCAGTGTAATTTGCATAGTACATACTTGAGTATACATGTAGAATCTGTGATTAAAATTAAAATCACAGCTGTCTGTTTGTGTAAAGTTGGAAGTAAGCAATCTGTTTTTTTTTTTTATCTGTTTTTATTTACAGTAGTTTTTAATCTTAAATTTTAGAAATTATTTTATGGTATAGATTAATTGTTTATCAAACAAAAATTAATTTATTTGAGGTGTTTGTATAAAGAAATATTCTCTTTATCAAAATCTAAATTAAAAAAAGACATGAAAAAAAAATGTCTTTATTAATATTAGTAATAATAAAAATTGGTAGCAGGGAGCCTGGTACTTATTTCAATATAATTTGAAGAGAGAATGTAAAAATACAATACAATGTCTTTTCAGACGAAAATACACTGAAGCAGGTTGGTAGCATTTAGTTTATAAGTTCCACTTACACAGTTCATGACAAAAAGCCTAAAATAGAGTCCCACAATAATATGCATGCATTGGTACATATGGCACAATACCAAACTGATTGCAATCTGTAATATCCAACATGAACTCAAGGTTGAATAAATAAGCCACCTTTTATTGAATCTATTGTGTGATGCAGTTGAAATAGAAATAACACCCACTTACCTTCCACTTCCACTCTGAATCCAAACTCGTCATATCGAAAATCTCCTACAGCACCGGCATCTTCAGTCTGTTAAGTATAGCACAGAGAGAGAGAGAGAGAGAGAGAGAGAGAGAGAGAAAGAGAGAGAGAGAGAGGGGGAGAGACAGAGAGGAAGAGAAAAGGTGATAGATCGAGATAGATGACAAACAAGATGATGAGTGAATGAAAATCAAGAGGATGAAAGACAAAAAGAATGAGAGAAGAGAGAGGTTGACAGAAAGAGAAAAGAGACAATGAGATAGAGGGGGAGAGAGAAGGAAAGAGGGGGATAAAGGGGGAGAAAGAGGGGGAGAGAGGGGTGGAGGGGAGAGAGAGGGAGGGGAGAGGGGGAGAAAAAAGACACATGTTGATTGGCAGGGAAAGAGAGAGAGAGACAGATAGTGTATTTGTATAGAAATAAAAGGAACATAATAGAGGGAGAAAATTAATATTCAATTTATTATCTTGCACGTAGACTGGAGTAACAACAAACATGACATTTTGTGACAATGAGATATTGCCATCCATTCAACCCTAACAATTACTGCAATCTACTTCTTTCATCTATAACAGAACGTGTGTCGTCATATATAGACATACATGTACGTAAATGTACAGTATGTATACAATTTGCTTTCTCCCCATATTTTGGAAGAGGGAAAACAACAAGTTCTTATACTACACGAATATTATACACAAATGAATTATGTCATGAACATTTCTTTATTCTCCTATCCTCTGCCTTTATGGGTGGTTCTCTCAGAAGTCAATCCAACTGCTTTATAATACAAGACATTCAAATGTATGCCTCAACAATATCTATATTTCATGCACTGCAGTTCTGTTTAACAAAATACAATCTGACCATTTTAGAATTTTCCTGAATAATGTTTTATGGCATTTCATGGCACTGGCCAATGTTGACATTTCATTGCACAAGGGGCATTCTTCGTTTGGTGTCAAATATTCATAATATGTTAAATAAAACAACATTATGCATGTACTTTTTTGATAGGGTACATTTGTGATCTTGAGCTATTCTTGTTTGGAATAAACTTTAGCATTAAAAAAAAAAGTTTCCTTCATGCATTCCATTGTCATAAACTGCTGCATGTACAGTATGCCTTTGATTTTAAAGGTAAAGACCAGTTATGGTCATGCTATTGCATTGTGAAAGAAACGCTGTGGAATCGATCAGAAAAGGTTGATCATCTAGCATATAAGTATTGGTGTGTACTGCAAGGTTCTGGAATCATCAAAATGATAAGAAATTTGGCCCAGTCTTGGTAAAGTTACAAGCACTGTACACAGAATGATGTATATGGGACTACGCACACGTGCGTGACACGTGTGTTTATCTCTCACGTGCCAATAGATTTATAAACTAATTTACCAAATACATGTATATCAATTAGTAGGCAGTTTCCCGGCAAAATCGTTATCATGTATTAGTCAAAACATATTCTTTCACATAATTGGTAATAAGAGCTTCCATTTCATTTTTTGAAATTGGGGCGTTTCCAATACTGGTCTTTACCTTTTATCAAACACAAATATTTTTTAAATAAAAATTTCAGCATTCATGTTTCACAGCTGGAGGATGATTAACTGTGAGAATGCACTTACCTGTGCTAATTTGGCAAGAATATCCTGTGGCCACATGCTGGGTATGAGGGCTGAGAAAGGGCCGCCAGGGGCAGGGGTGTACCCCCCTGAACCCCTCCTGTGTTTGCTCAGCTTGCTACACATCTCATCCTCATCTTCTGATAGGGTCTCAGCTGTATGGTGAACAGTAGCAGAGAGAGAGGGAGGGAGAGAGAGAGAGAGAGAGAGAGGGGGAGAGAGGGGGAGAGAGGGAGGAAGAGAGAGAGAGAGGGAGAGGGGAGAGAGAGAGAGAGGGAGAGAGGGTGAGGGAAAGGGAGAAGAGAGAGGGGGAGGGGAAGAGACAAAGAGAAAGAGATAGAGAGAGACAGAAAGAGAGGTGAGAGATCGGGAGGGAAAGAGAGGGGGAGGGGAAGAGACAAAGAGAAAGAGAAAGACAGAGAAAGAGAAAGACAGAGACAGAAAGACAGAAAGAGAGGCGAGAGAGGGGGAGGGAAAGAGAGGGGGAGGGAAAGAGAAGCGAGAGAGGGGGAGGGAAAGAGGAGAGAGAAAGAGATAGAGAGAGACAGAAAGAGAGGCGAGAGAGTGGGAGGGAAAGAGAGAAGAGAGAGGGTGAGGGGAAGAGACAAAGACAAAGAGAAAGAGATAGAGAGACAGAAAGAGAAGCGAGAGAGTGGGAGGGAAAGAGAGAAGAGAGAGGGGAGGGGAAGAGACAAAGAGAGAGAGAAAGAGATAGAGAGACAGAAAGAAAAGCGAGAGAGTGGGAGGGAAAGAGAGAAGAGAGAGGGGAGGGGAAGAGACAAAGAGAGAGAGAAAGGTATACAGAGAGACAGTAAGAGACATAGAGGGTCAGAGGTAAGTAGTTCAAGTTGAAGAGATTCAGGAATGACAGTACAGACATGATTTATAAAGGGTAAAGGAAGAAAAAGAAAAACAAGGAAATAAAAAGAACAATTCTGGTTAATATTGTGCATACCGGTAGATAAATAGAAGTATCCTTCACAAAAATACATGAACATACAAAGAAAATGAACATGATAAATACCTGTATGATAGTTTAAACCAACGGCACTTACGCTTAACACGACGCACATAACGATCATTGCTAGTCCATGAAGAATTCTCTTCCAATTTACTGTTCGCAATTAATCCTTTATATAAAGTCAATCCCTTTGACATATTGGTAGGTAAAATGAAGTCCCCACCATTGATTAACCATTCTTTAACACGGGATCCAGCAATTATTCTCCACTATTCTTAGATGCACATGTACAATGTATATACAATAATACATATATTGTACAAGTTTATAAGCAGATGTTTATATTACGCTGCTACATGGAGCATACATATCCATATATATGCAGACATTTTCAATATATATGTGGATAAAAGACAGACTTACAGGCGTGCTGGTAATTGTTTCTGCGACATATTTGGCTCCACTGAAAATCACAGATTTCAATAAATTTCACACACCACTGCCCATGCAGGAAAACACGATACAACTATTATGAATTAGCTCAACAATATCAATAATTTTTAAACAACCTGTAATCACTCCAGCAAAGCATAGGGAGTCAATGCTAATGCCTATTGACCTCTAGCAATGAACTACTGTACATGTTAATAGGCAGCATTTTCACCATGAATAGTCAATAAACATGTACTTATAATACACAAATGCACACAATCATGCCGATGTGGCTGATCGGCAAGTTTGACAGTATAGACTGATAGTGAAATCAGTTGATTTTTGTACAGTGGTGTTTGAAATATTGAGAATCAATAGCACAGCTTTTAATACACAGCCAGGATAGTAATGCAGCTATGTGTGCCTGTAATAACTACCAAAATAGGAAAACAGTTAAAATCTGAGATTTTCTCTGAGAATACCTCGTTTCCAGCATCCTCCCCCTCCTCCTCCTCCTTCGTCAGAAGCACATCTCTTTTTCTTCTCTACTGCTACACCTGGAGTCATTGCTACAGAACACTACTGGTCTAGCTGGTATCACTGATATAAAGCTAGATCCTGTGCTAAACAGTACATTGATCATGTATGCAAGCATCCCACAAGAGCATCATGCACTGTTTCACATACCCTGTATACAGGTATGTAAAACCTGACCACTGCACCTATTGTATTCTGGGACCAGTTTCACAAAACTTGTCATCCGTGACAAATGACAGTTTTTTTTATAAGCTACTGAAATATTTGCTTGGTTGATTGGGTATCAGCATATTTGTCACTGATTTTTGTCATTTGTCATTAAAAAAAGGCTTTGTGAAACAGGTCCCTGGTTGACAATACCTTGATGTTCAACGTTAATATAAGGATGTTAATGAGAGAAATATCTTGCATACAGATGTACACATGTATGTCTATTGCACCTGGCATTCCATACCTTTTGCTTTCCATTGTCAATATTCAGAATGCCATTTTCTGAAAGTATTGGAATGTGGGTGATGTTTACCATGGTACACTGTGTTCTGAATGAATTACCACATACACACAGATCTTATGGCGGTGATTTGTCAGAAAATCAGGACGAAAAGAACGCTTTACTTATATATTCAAATTTATGGATGTTTCTTTCCTGGGGACCTAGCCGACAATGTACCAGTATTCATGAATGCATGGAATACAGTCTGCAACATTATTTATTGTACGTGGGGGGTAGCCTTGGGCATGCTATCAGATTGTCAAGAACAACCTTTGTTTACAAAGTTTGCATAAAATTTGAATACATGTTAGTAAACTGGTCAATAGCCATGTTCAGACAGGGGGGGGGGGGCTTGCTAGTCGGTGTAAGTTAATCCATGCAGCAGTAATTAACTTTTACACCATTAGTTGTCCACACCCTCTTACTCGGACCAACTTGCCATGATTAAGTTAACACAACCTCCCACCGACCAGCGTAACTTCCGGAAGCGGTAGCGCCCGCACTAGTCAACCTCAACCCACCTTCTGGATCACCTCAACCCACCTTCTGGATCTAAACTGTGCGAATTCTAATTTTCCTTTTCGATTGTACAAACAAACAACCCTCGTGAAAGGTCACAGATACTTCTGAGAGCCAAGTGAGATCATCCACACAGTTAAATCCAGGAATGAATCGGTCGGGGTAAAGGTAGGCGTAGCTAACACAACCATAGTTCAGACGGTCATTACTCCGACCGTTACACCGACCTCACCATATTTACCCCGACTAGCTCTTAACACAACCTTTACCCCGACCAAAATTGCCATCGGCTGAACAAGACTTATTAGAGATACAAATCATTTCTTAAAGGTCGGTGACATCCAAATATAAGTTGATTCCTAGTGATGAGCTAACAAGAGACAGTGATATGTAGCTTCACCAGAGCTGACCACCCGTTTACAATAGGGACTTTTAGATTTGCGTGGACTGATACGTGTGACGTCCATTCAAGGCAGTGCATTAAAAGGACGTCGATCGTAACAAGCCACGTTGTCGTTCGGCAAATCTAAAAGTCCCTAATACCATACAATACCAACATAGGATTTGCTATGTCAGACGTGCTGTAGCATCACCAGGAAAAGAAAGGTAATGTGGAGGTACTGTATGAAAGAATGTGATTCTTTTGTGAGCATGAGTTGGGGGAAGTTACATACCACTGGCTCTTGCTAGCTCTCTAATAATTGACAGATGTCACAAGCTGAATGAGATCTGGATCTTTTTTTTAACGGTGCAGCTTAGCAGGTCTGAGAAAATTATTTAAAAAAACATTTAAAAATCTATGAAATATATTTAGATGTTTGACCAACAAAGTATGAGTTGTATGCAGCCCTGCATATCAACAGGAATCAACTTATTTTGGACGTCACCCGACCTTTAATGTTAAGTCTCAAATATACAAATCCTTATACACTCTTCAATGCAACTTTCTATTGAACAAATTGTCTTCTACACCCAATGATAGATGTTTTACACTCGTAATTGAATATAATGAGGTCAAATACGTGTTTCCGTTAGAAATACATGTATATGCATGTACCAGCAAGTCTCGGTACATGTATATCGGTCTGCAGTTGCAGCATAATCTGTACATTTTTGTAAGCTTCATTGAAGAATGTTCTAACATCCACACTGAAATGTGATGCTACCGAGTATGTCCCCCCTACCCTCTCAAATAAAAAAGAAGTCTTGTTAAAGATAAACTTTAGTACTGGTAATGCGATTGCATTGTGAAAGAAAAGGTGTGGAAAGGATCAGAAACAGTTGATCATGTAGCATGTAAGTATTGGTGTGCACTGCAAGGTTTTGGAGTCATCAAAATCATAATAAATTTGACCGAGTCTTGGTAAAGTAACAAGCACTCACATAGAAAGCTATATATGGGACAACACACATGGTGTCGGGGCTAGTACTACCTTGATTTCCTCGTCTTTCTATGCTCATTACTCAGCCAGTATACATTTTCTTCCAAAATTGTTTGGCACATGTCATTTATTTGTAATCTTGAACATTCAGTGTAAGTTTCGTTTGATTCTGTGAGAATTAATTTTTTTTTTTTTACCAGTACTGGAGTTTATCTTTAATGTTTGTATTCATAGAGTTAATGCACAATGTAGGGCTACATGTATTTATTAGCACAGAGTAGGACAGCCAGTATACAAAATGCAGAAACTAAATGCTGCTTTTGGCGTATAAATATATTTTTTTTACTAATAAATAATACTTCATGTACTCTCTTTGAACAGTACAATGTACAGTTGAAACCTTCATGAAAGTATAGAAATTTACTTGATAAGTCAAGTGAAATTTAAAAAAAAAGTATTAAAATTGCATTACCTTCAAACTGGTAGGGACGACAATATGCGAGCATCATTACCCACTGCACAGTTTCCATTATCAAGGCATTCCTCGCCAATATTGTGGATGAAATCAAAAGCCCCAAAACGCACAGAAACGGAATTTAACAACCAACCGAGTTAACTAGCCTTCAGAAGAAGAAGAAAAACCTCCCACAAACTTTTCACATTCTCTGATTCCCTTTTGCCCACTATTGTGGTTTTGTCTTTACGTCCATGCACTCTTTCACAAGGGTACTTCATATTGCCAATCCCATATTACTCCCACACTTACCACCTTCCAACAATGAAACCTCAACCTTTTCAATATTTAAAAAAAAATATGTTTCCAAACAAAAGACTTTGTTTGAACAATCACAGAAATAAGAACAGAAAAGGAAAATAAAAAGCGAAACAACCATTTGTAAGAAACTGGATTACATTCCATTATTTTTGCTTCAGTGGATTCTGTCGGCAAGTACAATATATGTACTTAAAGGAATTTTGAGTTTTGCTACTGATAGACAATAAAAATAAATTTACAGTGAATGTTTGTAACAATTACAAATACATGTATATTTCCCTGCCATACAATCTTGGTACATTATATAAAACTACTGAGGAACAAGTGTAAAAAGAAAGGAAACATACATGTACATGTAATTTACTCTGAGATAGTTCAGCCAAACATGAGCATAAGAAAAGGTCCCATACATGTACCGGTACATGTACATGTTTGTGCAAAAGTGACTTATGATTCACCTTAATGGCATTTCAAATTACATGTAAATTTCCCTTCAAATTATGTGATTTGTTTAAAATCTGCTATTCCAAAAAATCAAGATACTGCATGATTAACAGTCATAATCATTTTGAGCCCATTCTTTTTCAATTTGAATATATATGAAATTCAAGAGTACAGTGTACATGTACATGTATTTTACCTTTAAACCAATTCAAGCATTTGTGTTATTGCCAGGCCGTTACATCTGCATTCTATAACATATTAAGCTTGTTTACACAATACCATGCACCCTTGCACAACTACATGTATGTTGCCGATCCCACAAAGTCTTCCCCGCTTTCAGTGTCTTCAAACTTTGGGTTCTACAACTTCCCAATAGGCCTGTCCTCATCAGCTCGAGATTGCCAAATAACCCGCTTTTTTAACTATCCCGACCGCAATTTATCCAGCCAATTTGCGTCTTCATCAGCCGCAGTTGCAATTAGTGGGATATTTTGTCAAGATATCTTGGGCTAAAATATCCTGCTATTTGTCCGGTGCGTCTTCACCAGCCCCAAGACTGGCACTATGCGTGAATAATGAGCAAAATATCTTGAGCTGATGAAAACGTGATTTGTAACTTCAGGCTTATGTCCCAAATCAGAAATAGCGGGCTATTTGGCAATCTCGAGTTGATGAAGACATACCTAATGTTACACATTATCTCATTTTCAACAGAATTCGTCAATTGTAACCACACACAGGATTTCCCATTGAAAAATGGAGAGGTAAAATCTGAATGACCTAGATACATTGTGTAAGTATGCGTGTCTGAATTTTGTTCTCTTTCACTGATTTTATTATTCATGGCTGAATGCCGGAAAGAAACTAAATCAAATACAGTCCTTTTATTGCGTGAATACAGCATACTTTGTACTGAGGGGGGGGGGGGGGGGGGGCAGGCTATGCATCACTAATAGAGCCCCCCCCCCCCCCCATCCCCATCCCCTCCAATCCATTTTCCTACATGTATGAGTCCTCCCACTAAATATTTAGGTACATGTATGGATCACACTTTTATGATTATCCTACATGTGTAAAGTACACCTACAGAAAGATGTACGATTGGGCTAACAAATATGTACATGTATTTATAAAGCTCTTCAAAACACCCTCTCAACCACTTTTGTCACATTCTCAAATTATGTTGTTCTTTCTCCACCCCCTCCCCCTCTCTCTCTCTCTCTGTATGTCTGTCTCTCCCTCCCTCCCTTTCTCTCTCTCTCTCTCTCTCTCTCTCTGTATGTCTGTCTCTCCCCCCCCCCCCCCCCCTCTCTCTCTCTCTCTCTCTCTCTCTCTCTCTCTTTTCCTCCATTCTCCTCCCTCTAGCACATAATTAATTATACAGGTGTAACTTTTCAAAAATGAATTATTCCAAGTCGACCTCCTACAGTACTTCTGTATACTGTACATCATGTATCGACTACTATCCAAAAGCAACACAAGCATGATTGATATA